AGATTATAGTGTACACTACTCTTAATTAGTATGTAGCAAGGTGTCTTCGGAGAAAGTCAGGAGAGCAGACGGCCGACAGATAAAGGTTCTAGACAGAGAAGTACAACATACTGGATTGCGAACATAAGTGATCTTTTCAAGAATAACATTAGTTATAAAGTTGCGATATACCATAGATACAGACTGTAATTTCCCCAATGTAGCATTTTTCCTGCTACTCACTATTATCATTCTCATCAGCTGACAACCCCCCCTCCGACTTTCTCTGAAGTATCGAGCTGCTCATTACTTAAATGCACTTTTATCAGTAACATACACCACCAAACTACTTACAAGTCATAGTTCTATCATGAAAAGGGTAAAATAGTGGTACTATTCCACTGTCATTTTGTAATTTGGCTCCACATGCCCTTTCGGTTGCCAGTCTGCAAGGTCACTTTATGAAAACTTGCAAATTACTCATAAAACTTCCTCTGATCATCATAAATCGTATTAAGAAATAGGTATGTTTTACAATCCTTTACCGACGGTCAGAGTTTCGAGACGAATATCCGACATAATCTTTGTATCAGTGACAGCAGTTCATTTCCCAACTGAATCTTCTTAGTAAGATTCCCACAATGTTTATAATAAGCCTTAAATCCCAACAACCAAATGTGTTGCATGGAAGCTTCGAGAGAAAGAGCCTGAACCAATTTGTAAATATTCGATTGGTTGAAGGGATAAAAATCAATAGGATTTTCAAATCTAGAAAAACCTCGAAATAACCAAGGCCATATATATATACATTGTATTTTGTATATAGTTTTGACGTTGCAAATACGGGTAAATCCAGCTAACGATCTTCAAATAACATGAGAAGTACAACATAGACTTCGCTGTTCTCCACTATCAAGTGTAGATAATAGTATCATTATCTTAGTCTCATCAAATTTAAGACAGTTGAAAACTCAAACTGGATATGTTTCATACAGAAAAGCAGTAGCTGATTCAATCATCTTTCAGACTGGCTACTTCAACTCTGAGTCACCTCATTTTACCACAGAACACATTGCATTAAATTTCCCCTTTCTACATTGTTTGAATCATTCAGTTATCCTACCTAATTCTATGATATATCCTCGAGCATTTTTAAAATCGTTACGACCTATCCCTCTACAAGTTGATAGTCAAATTCAAGAAAACAGACATGGTGGATGGCAGTGGACTCTTAAGTGTATGACCATTCAGAAGATTACAGAACCCAATTATCATCTCTGAAGTTATAAATAATCTCTGATCAATAGTTTAAATAACAATGTAAATAATACTTCATTGTTATTCTTCTTCTCACAAATTGTTGTACTAACACTATTCCAAATGTTATAAAGGAGTATATATATATGATGAATGTATTGCTGCAGTATAACATTCTGAAAAATTCTAGTTGTACCAAAACACTATTCCGAAGAAAGTGACTATTATTATTAAAGACAAATAGCTACTTCAAATGTTTGTAAATTATGCCGATTGCCTCGTCCATAACTATATTTCGGAACAACGAAAACTGGCACCTAACAAAATCCTAAATTTATCTACCATTTCAAAGTTATCCAGTTCTCAGGAGGATTCCAGAGTGCCACTAATCATCAACATCATCATCACCATCAATAACAACATAGGGCCAGGCATTACTGTGTAACGGTCCCACTTGCCATACCTCATATCACTACATCAAGTAGAAAGGTAATGAGGTGAAAGATGAAGAAAGAAAGTTCAGTTAAAAGAAATACAAAGTACGAAAAGAGAGAAACGAAGAATGACAGAATAGTGAGATTCGGTATAGCATCGTTAGGATGAGGATAATGTGTGTATATATATACATCTGCGCCACTGACATCGGTCCTCAGTCATATCACCTACAGGAAGTCTCCAACCACTGGTTCCTCTTGCCCCACCAACCCCAAACACCTAGTCTGCATTCAGCGCCAGCCCCAACCCCCCCACCTCACCCCAACAGACACACATGGCTCAAACCAACAGTCAAATACTTCATACATTGGTACTGTGTTTTAGTCTGGCCACCTCGGGCCTTTTTCCAGACTCGACCCACCTCACCCAACATTGTGTGATGAGGCAATCGGTGACTAGGTATACGTAACACATATCACAACCATCTCAATCGATCAAGGTTCATAACCGTGTCAACTGACTCACCTCTTCTCCCCAAAACTCTACACCTAACTTCTGCATTACTCATGTGGTGACACCACGGAATACGGCCCCCTATACTATGAAGGCAACGGTGGTCAAACACCTGAAGCCAGGCTTCTCATGTCTTCCACCTTCAATGGCCATGTTTCACAGCCATACAGTAGAACAGACCGGACTGCTGTGCAGTACTCGCGACCTTTACTAGACAAACGGTTATCCTGGCTGCGCCATAGGTGGCGTAAATTGGCAAAAGCCAATCGAGCCTTTTGTATCCGTGCAGAGTCTACAGTGTCAGAAATTGCTTTTCATATCTTCTAAGGTAAATTTTTGTGACTCCCGAATGATCTTCATATAGGAACTTTAAAAACTGCTTAGCTTTAATTGTATTGACAGTACAGGTTACTGGATTGTCACTATGATGACGATGATGATGAAGTTTTATTCTTAGTCTGCGTGCACATGGCATTTCCTCAAAGACTGAAATGAAAAGTTCATCATCAGCATCATCATCATGATCAGCGTATTACGCTTAGCTTTGTTAATCTGAAGACAATCTCAAATTTGACATTATTTCCATATGGTCTACTAAGTGGTTATTACTGTCAAACTCCTAGTTTTTATTTCGATCGAAAACTCTAACGAAACATTGACTAGGTGAATGATATGCAAAGTTATCTGTCCCCCCTAAAATTTAGATTAGACTTACACAATCACATGTATGGTACATGCTAAGATATTACGGTGTATTTGATAGATGTATGGTAACAGCAATAAGCGATCATGGATTACTTAAATTATCACGTTTTGACGACTGATACTGGATAATCGGTTAGTCTAAGGGATGGAATAAGTTTTATCCCCTCTTAAAAGTTATATAGAAGAAAAAAATTGATTATGGTTAGGAATATACAATTCTTTTGGTTCTTTATAGAGTCAGTGAATCAAAAGCCATGCAAGATTACTGATATAGATAGTTGTTTATACTCAAAAGGAACTAGTTTTTTAACTGAGTATAAGTCGATGCATTGGGTAGCATAATTAATGTAGAGACTGATATTTCTTTAGACACCATTTTCCGCATAAATCTCCATTCAATATGAAATTATAGACTCTTCTCAGTTTCCTACTCTTCGATGAGATATAAGTGACCTATACAAAAACCCAGCTGTTTTGAAGAAAGTATTTAGTTATTATCCAAATAGTTCAGTGGTGTTTTACAGACAGTCCCTTTCAAGATTTTGACCATAACACTCATTAGGCTCACGGTACAATAGTTCTCAGGAGAATGCCAGTAACGCTAATCTGAGATTGATATTGTCATAAAGTTCTCCCGGTTACTTGGCGACTTTTTTCCTATGTGCTACTGGCTGATTGAAGTTTTGGCAGGAAAATTAGGCAGGTTCATTCGTAGTTGTTGAAGCATTTTATTCAGTCAGATGTGTACTTGATTCGGCAGGACAACAACATTTATTAACCTAAAGGTCACTAAATATAAATTGGATGCACATTGATATTTCACGTAGTTATGTATACCATTAATATGCTCTATAAAACACTAGTCCACTGACAGTATTCTGTAGATCAGCACATATGACTGCTAACTACTTATTTTGCTCAGTAGCATATCTCAGCGAATCTAAATTGTAACTAGAAATTGGCATACACTATGTAGTTTTGAAAATGTCTCCTCTGAAATCGACAGCATACAAGAATAATTTTGGAAAACGTTGACATCTTCAAGGTAAGTGATTCATTAACAGTTATCGAACACCCTAACACCTTTTGCTATCCAACTGACATAAGGGATACGCCCTTGGGTTGCTGTATGAACTTGAATACTAGTCGAGTCTTATATACCTTCTGTATACTTACATCCAGTACCGTCTGTGCCCTATAACACACACTAGTTTAGTTCTATATTTCACTACTTGAATGAAGCTTATACTTTCATACAATTCCAGAGGTTTTTTTCTTCATATCTTTGAGGCATGATCCAAGAATAAGCATCTGAAAATTAGGTATGTAATCAAACAAATTTACCATATACTGCTTAAAAACAAGTTGGTTATTTCATGTGTGACTATTTCAGTGATTAAAACTGTAGGACAAAGAGTGCTAACTTTTCGCCTTTGCACCAGGCAATTCTGTCGGTAATATGGAAACTATCCGATCAAACAATTTTTACCGTAACTAAACGGAATTTCAGGATCCGTTCACGTACTAAACAAACTGGTGGAGCAGTTCCATGAAGTACAATATGTCATCGAGTAATTTATTTAAGAAAACTAAATTACAATGTTCACACACAATGACTAATTTTATAATTTTGGTAAGATTTTAGGCGAAAAATACTGAAGATTTATTGCAATCCATGATGTCCTAATACGCCTAAGTTCCGTAAAGTCACGAAATTGCTTTTAATTAAACTGATTCAACACAAGTTGGTCATAGATATGCTCTTCAATTACAGCTAACCCATGTTGGAAATAACCTTGGTGAATAAAGATTCAGCCCTTGGGTTGTAGATATTTGTTTGCATCAGCCTGTGGTCTTCCAGGGATGTAAGTATCAAATGGATAGATAGACATGAATGAATGTGAATAGTTGAACTAGGTCAGATGTTTGTTTCATAGTGTTTCGTAGACAGACAGGCAGGAATGAATTAACCAGGACAATTGCAAATATGATTGGTTAAATCTAGAATGTGTCCTTCTGCGACTTCAAGGTCACAACCTCTTTGTTGACTTTTCAGTAGGTTCGTGTGCGAGCAGTTATAGTTCTGTTGGGGCGTGTCAGTAGCCGAACAGATGTTAAGTGGCTTTCTTAAGGTTAGTTACGCTGGGCATTTGATTATCTCGCGCCTAACTGTTTTGTGATGAATGGAAAATAAGCGTCAGAAACAATTTCTATGCTGTTACGAGTTCAAACATTGGGGGATTTCATTTCATATATACATTTAGAGATACAAAAGTTAGACCTGTAAAGGATCGTGACGACTGAAATGTTTTCAGCTGGTTTATAATATATTACACGCTATATTTTGTAAGTGGAATTTATTTTGGGAAGCTGTATAAGCATTGTACTTAAAGTATTTCGTTTTGTTTGCTCCTGTTTGGGCGTCAACTAGGTGATATATCAGTACATTTTTCATTCCCATTATCGTAAGCTTTGTCCCCACAGTATGGACGAGTCATGATATTACATTTCATTCTGCTTGCTCCTGTGATCATCACGAAGAAGTATACAACTAAACAGTTGCACTAAGACAACTCAGAAACTGAGTACGATAAATTATGTTCAAAATATCGTCTTATCTGGATTGTAGCAGGAATGCGCATCCAATCTTATCAACTGACACTTCTCAGTAGACAGTCCTATCCATTTTATGGGAGAAGATCCACAAATATGCCACCTTGCTGACGGCTTTCCTGACAGAAACTTCAGACAAAGAGAGTTGTTATTTATTCGTCTGTTAAACATCACAGTTACATGGTACAAGATTTTAACTTCACAGTCCTTGCAGATCACAAACCATTGATCTGTGTATTAGGTATCTCGTCAGATAAATATGTATAAGCTAGACAGCTAGAATATGTTTCCAATTTACGGAGTGGGTTCCAACATCGTCGTCAAATAATTATTGTGGACTGCTGTATATTCTTCGGTACTCCCAAAAGAGTTATCACCATCAGAATAGGACTAGGCGTTACTGCATAACGGTCCAACTTATCACACCCCATTGCAGCATATTAAGCGAGAAAGCACTAAAATAATCGGTCAGAAGTAGTAAAAAAGATGAAGGAGGAATAAGAGCTGAGTATGACGGTTAAGATGAGGATAACGTGTAGATACATCTACACCACTGAAATCGATTCTAGGGTCTTCAACTATTGGCTTCTGTTGTCACACTAACCCCTATGAAGGAAGTCTACATTTCCGTACTAAGCTCTAACCAACAGCCAAGGACTGATACTACGTTTTATTTTGGCCGCTCTGAGCCTTTCTCCGGCCTAAACCTACTTCAGATAGCATTGTGCAACGGGGCGGACGGTGGTTAGGCGTTAGTAATACACATCCCAGCCACCTGACTTTGCTCTTCTCCCTGGAATTCTACACCTGGCTTCTACGTGAATGTGGTGGCACCACGATACAGCCTAGCAATAGTCAGATAACTGGAGTGGTCAACGCAACCACTTCACTCTCTGTTTTTACCTAAGGCATAACTGAAAACCAGTCCTTGAGCAACAATTAGCATTTGAACGGTCAGAAATGCATCCCAAGCATTCTTAAGTTGCCACTCAAGGTATCCAGAAGACTGCATCTTGTCAGCGTCTCCGCCTAACAGGACTTTGTTATCTGTGTACTCTAGATCTACCAAGGATTCTCCTGTGATGAAAGCCTGTGAAGTCACTGTCACACTGTCATAAGCCACAGTCGAACGACGCCTTCAGGTTGAGAAAAACAGCTAGTGTCAGTAAATGTATCGGTGTTCCAGAAACTAGTAGAGAGTGAATATTTGGTCGATACACCCATGTTCAGATCCATAATCTGCTTGGGTTTCTCGAATTCACTATACCTTAGGTTCGCCAAGGCGTTCTATGATTATAAAATCTTGAATCCTAGACATTATGTTCGTAAGGCTGATTATTCTGCGTTTATCACAAGAGGACTTCTCATCTTGCTTGAAAACGAGGACAACCAGTGATTGAGACCAGGGAATCATATTTACCTCTCACGCATTAGCTAACGTACTGCAACCTGGCCAATAAATCACAACCACTGTACTTAAATACCCCCAGTAATGATGCATCTGGTCCTGCTGCCCTTCCTCATTTTCAAATATATACAGGTTTTTCTACTCCCGCGAGGGTTGAAGGCCCTGTATCAATGTTCCCTTCAGCATCTGACTGAATAGGGGGCATTGGATAGTAACTTGAGGTCAGTTGAACTGTCCCTTGAGGTGTTCCACTTATCGTTCCAGTCGTCTTCCTCGCGAGTGAATCACAGACCTGTCCCTCTCCACCACTCACTAACCAGTGACCTCACAGCAACTTTGACTATCAGTGTAAATAGCTGTTGATTTTCTCACCTACTGCTGCTTTCTTTTCCATCTCTAGCCTTTACCACATATCACTGTTCTCGGTCATTGGATATACGTTTTATCAGCTTACATTTGGGTTGATTACGCTTCTCACTGTGCTCAGAGCCTGCAGGCATGCTTTCGCTGACTGAAAAAATCAACGCATCAAGAACAGGTGAATAAAAAAGGGTGATATCAAAATAGACAAAGTAGTGTGAGAGAACAAGCAATTTGAAAGTAATGATAAGTATGAGTATTCAAGCTTTAGAAGATGTCAAGCAGTGAATACATCCACGCCATTGTGACCCATTCCCAGCCATGTCACAAGAGGCCCCAGCCACTCTTGTCATGTCGGGGACCCCAACCAAGCAATCTATATCTCCCCACACGAAGACATCTGTGATCGAAACCCTGTAGTCGCTTCATGTTATCTTCTTTTAACAGCCATGTCTCAGAAAACCGTACAACAGGACGGGACAGAAGAAACTGGAGTGCAGTATACTCGTTGTTTGATAGTTAGTCGGATATCTATCCACTCGGTGCCACACACGACGTAAGTTGGTAAATGCTAAATAGGTCTTTTCTATCCTAGCTGTCGTAACTCCTGAAGTAAGTGAAGTGTTCGACACACTCCACCACTTCACTCCCTATCCTTCCTTAAACTAGGAGTGGTTGCATCAGACCAGTCCCCCCATAGCATTATGTTGCATTTGACAGGTGTCAGCGAAACGCATGGCAGCCAAACAAACTCAGATTTATGTTTATGGGGTACAGAATACCCTGGATTATTTTAGCATCTTTAATCAGCAGGACAATATCTTCTGCATACTGCAAACCAACCAGATTGCACTCTGGGAGTAGATCAATTTCTATGATTTCAGATGTGCCTGCGGTTATGTCTATTAGTACGTCTATGATGAAGTTGAATAGGAAGGGTGAGAGTGGACATCCCTGGTGAACACCACTAATTGTTTTCAATTCACATGACAACTCATAAGCCGTTACATGACTGCGTGAGCTCGATTAGTGTTATATGCTTTCTGGGTACTCTCCTCACAGTCATACACTGCTGCACCACCTCACGTTGACAGAGTCAAATTCCACCGTTGATTGACGAAATATGGCAAAGTGTTGGTCAATGGCTGGTAAGTATGACTGTGTTCAAGTACATCGTACAGTACGTACTTGGTATTCTCACCTACCAACTGAGGACAGATGGGCCTCACTGTTTCTTGTTGGCCAGTAAGGCACAGACGTATATGGGCCTGTACTAACGCGTAACTGGAGCCCCAACTGGTACTCTGGAAAGAGCGGCAATCTTCCAACGACTGCTTGTAGCAATGTGATATATCTGTATCCATGTTTGGTTTGATGTAGGCAGACGGCACGTGAGACACTGTCTCTGTATACCTAAAATTAGTGCTGTCCACGAACAAGTGATTGTCGGGACAGAATTGCAACAGACAATGATAATAATAATAGTAATAATTCACTTTATTCCAAACACCCTTATCAGTTGGTTGGCACAACATTCCGTAGATATATCCAAGATGTCTTTCCTATTGGTTCGGGTTCCCTACTTGAGAGTCAAAATAACCTGTCATTATGACTACATTTGAGCTTTTTGCTTTGTGTAACGAAATTGACAGTTTCTCATAGAATTCGTGTTTTGCATCATCCGAATTGCAGTTGGTGAGTGTGTAGATGGAGATTAGGGATAGGCACCGCGTAGTTCCACAACCGTTTCTATTTCTTACTCATGCAGTCAGTTGGACAGCGCATAGTCGACTGTTTAGCAGCATCCAGTTGAGGAGTGCACTTTCTACTCTATAACTCAATGCTATACCTACACACGAGCTGTTTGAGGAGTGTCAGATGAAGGTGAAGTTAAATGATGATCAAAAAGAGTGTGTGCTGACAGCTGATACTACTCTAACAGGAGTACCACACGACGTGTGGTACAGTATAGAGTTGTCGGCATGTAATAATCCAACAAATCAATTCTTTGTACACTATCTACAAGGGGAATAATCATTGCGTTTAAATAATGTTAGTGACAATAGTGAAAGTCTCAGTGTGAAACAAGCACCTGGTATCACACTAGCGTCTGGTTTCGACTGGCGAATGAATCGAAAATTGAGCTCAGTTTTGATGGTGGAAGTTGATCGAACCAGTACAGTACCAAAGCCTGCAATTGGACATAGTTATCTAAAGAATAGTAATATGCTGTATTTCTGCATATCCGCCTAATCTGAAGCCCATATCCTACCGGGTTATCTGTTTCTTATATTTCATTGTTAGCTTGAAAAATGGCGGTTTGAAACTATTTTGAGTGTTCAAGAGTACTTAACGCGTTTAAATGACATTTATAAGGTGAAAACAAATTGAAAGGGAAAAATTTAATGATATGAATTCTTGAATGTAATTAATTCTAGTTAGGTGGGTAAATTGTATTCATTATTTAAATATTCTCTTTGAGTCATAAAATGAGGACTTCAACGAACAAATGTTTTTTGACCATGTCATCATCTGCTGCTGTACAGACGTATTTAAGTACAGTTAGTTTACACAAAAATGTGAATATTTGTCTATCAATAATAATCACGTAAACAATTTTCGTTGAGTTCAGTTACAAATTTCTCATTTCCTTGGTGTACCGACAACTGTCTACTCACTTTGTTACAAATTCCTTACTTCTTGCCTTCTACTCATATTCATGCACCTTTTCACATACTTTCATATTTCCTA